CCAGTCATGGGCTTGTGGCTTTGTGGACAAGCTCCCACTGTGCACCAGTCATGGGCTTGTGGCTTTGCGGACAAGCTCCCAATGTGTGTCAGGGGGCTTGCAGCTTTCTGAACAAGCTCTCACTGTATGCCAGGCCTGGGGTCCAGGCATTATAAACATTAGTCTCAGCAATATGAGGAACAGGCACAGAGAAGGATGTGGCTTGCCAGGGGCTCCTAGCTGCTGGGTAGCTGAACAGGGATAAGCACCAGGGCAGGGGTCCCTTGGGGCAGTGGAGACCCCTTCAGAGTGTGCAAACCTGCTGCTTCTCACTCTCTGCCAGGAGGAGGCCCTCATCCCGCTCCTGCTGCAGGGCTGCGATCTCCTCACTCAGCTCTTCCTTCTCAGCTTCCAGCCGGGCCAGCAGTTCCTCCCGCTCCCGCTGGAGCTGGCTCTGCAGCTGGGCCCGCTCGGTCTCCAGTTCCCGCCATGCCTCCTCCTGTGGAGCCAGGCCCAGGCACAGTGACACACCAGACTGAATCCACGCAGCCCTCACTAACTTCAGGGCAGCCAGGACCATCTCCCACCTGAGCGATAGGGTGAGGGACCAAAGAACTCCAGGGCTGAGAGGTAACCATTGTGAGGAGGACTTGCCAGGGCTGGGTGAGCCCCAAGGAGCAGCAGCAGCCCAGCCTAGGGGTCAGAAAATGTTTGGGGAAGAGGGACAAGCAACAGTCAGCCAAGGAAAGTGGGAGAAGAAAAAGAATCCTAGGTCAAAAACACAGCCCCACAAAGGCCTGGAGGAAGGAGAAAGTGTGTGTAAGGGCAACTGCAGTATTTAGGGGTCACTGGTGCTTAGAAAGGAGCCCTGGTGGTGCAGTGGGTTAGGCACTGGGCTGCCAACCGCAAGATCGGCAGTTCAAATTCATAAGTCACTCTGAGGGAGAAAGATAAGGCAATATGCACCTCTAAAGATTTAACATCTTAGAAACCCTATATAGGAGTCCTGGTGTGGTGCTGTAGGATCAGCACTGGGCTGCCAATAGCACGGTGGGCAGTTCAAACCCACCAGCCACTCCTTGGGAACCGTATCCATGGTCACTATGAGTCAGAACAAACTTGACAGCACTTAACAACATGAGTTGGAATCAACTCTAAGACAATGGTTTTGAAGCTTAGAAAGGGGCACTAGTGGTGCAGTGGTTAAGTGCTTGGCTTCTAATCAAATGAATAGTGGTTCTCCACCAGTCGCTCCAAGGAAGAAAGATGTGGCTGTCTGCTCCTGTAAGGATTACACAATGGAAACCCTATGGGGCAGCTAGCTCCACATTGGCTTACAGGGAGACTCGAAGTCAGAATCAGTTCAGCGGCAATGGGGGTTTGGTTTGTTTGGAACTTAGAATAGAGTCCGGAATGCTGCAAACAGTAAACGTGCTCAGCTGCTACTCAGAAGGTTAGAGGTTTGAGTCCACTCAGAGGTACCTCAGAAGAGACTTTGTGATGTACTTCAGAAAATCCAGCCACTGAAAACCCTATGGAGCGTATTTCCACTCTGACACACATGGGGTCACCATGGGTGGGAATCAACTCCACAGCAACTGGTTTTAGAGTTCCTGGGTGGCACAAATGGCTACCATCCTGCTAACTGGAGGGTTGAAGGTTGGACTCCACCCCCAAAAGGTACCTCGGAATCAGGGCCTGGTGATCTACTTCTGAAAAGTCAGCCGTTGAAAATCCTGTTGTTAGGCGCTGTCAAGTCCATTTCTGACTCCTAACAACCCTATGTTACAGAGGAGAAGTGCTCGCTAAGCTTTCCTGAGCTGCAATCTTTACAGGAGCAGATTGCCAGGTCTTTCTTCCTCAGAACTGCTGGTAAGTTCAAAATGCCAACTTTCCGGCCAGTAGCACTTACCTGATGAACCACCAAGGCTCCTTTGAGAACCCTATGGAGTACAATTCTATTCTGATACACATGGGGTCTCCATGCGTCAGGATTGATTGGATAGCAACTGTTTGGGGTTTTGGTTCCAACACCAGAGGACGTAGAGAGAAAAGGTCAAGAGTCACAGGCGGCACCCAGGCCAAGCAGGAGGAGGCTTGAACCTGAAGACAGTTGGGGGGAGCCTCAAGCCAATGGGGGGCAAGGGATAATCTGAATTTTAAACTAAGGGGTTGCTCAGAAAGCTGTGAAAGAGGGACCAGGGTGGGGCTGGGCTAAGGAGAGCTAGTGTCACTGTGAACAAAAACGGGAGTAGGATCAGGGATGGTAGGGGAGCTGGAGAGAAGAAAGTGGATCTGGCGGCATTAATGAAGTTGAATTCAAAGGAGCAAGGAGTTTGCTTCCCTGGGCAGTGGGTAGGTGGGTGGATCTCAGGAGCAAAGAATAGTCCAGTTGAGGTGCCCAGTACAAATGTGGGTCAGAACTGTTGTGTGCCATGGAGTCGGTTCCGACACATAGCGACCCTCTACAGGGTTTCTGAGGCTGCAAATCTTTACGGGAGCAGAAAGCCTCATCTTTCCCCCACGAAATAGCTGGTAGTTTCCATTGTTGTTGTTAGGTGCCATCGAGTCGGTTTCGACCCATAGCGACCCTGTACAGGGTTTCCGAGGGTGTAAATCTTTACGGGAGTAGAAAGCCTGATCTTTCTCCCGCGGAGCAGCTGGTAGTTTCGAACTGCTGACCTTAAGGTTCACAGCCCGATTCGTAACCACTACGCCATAGCCCTTAGGAAAGTCATGGAAAGCAAAGGCACTGCTTCTTCAAAATGCTTCACTGCCACCTGCTGGAGTAAGGTGATAACATCCACCCAAACCATGCAGGGTGGAGTGGCAATGTAGGATAAGCACTGGACTGCACGGTGGTTTGAACCTCAAGGTAAGTGGTTCAAAGTCACCACCGGCTCCTCGGAAACCTTATAGAGGGTCGCTATGAGTTGGAACCGACTCCATGGCACTTAACAACAACAACAAGGTAGATGGTGCCCCTGGAGTTGTATAGTGTCAGCCTGAACCTCTATTAAAGTTGTGGCTAAGGCGCCCTGTCCTGAAGCCTGCTCTGGAGATTATACTAGTAACAGTAATAATAACAACCAGCATTATACGGATTACCTCATCCTGCCCTCACAATACCAGCTATTATCATTATTCCCATTCTACAGATGGGGAAATGAAGGCTCAAAGACCTTAAGCAACAGCCAGTATGTGACTAAAGTCAGGCAATGCAACCTCAATAATTCAGTGTGTCCTTAGCCACTTTTCCCTTCTGCCTTCTAGAAAAGACTCCCTGGCCCCTAGTCTTTTCTATGGATTCAGACCCCAGAGTGGTCCTTCACATGCAAACAGCACATCTGAGGAAATCAAAGTGCTTTCCTGCTATACACTTGGTCAGTGCTTCTCTAATGAGGCTGGGGGCCACCTGCATCAGGATCACTAGGGTTGGACTAGATTTGGGGGTCAAATTCTGCATGTTTGATAAGGCGCTAGCTCTCACAGATCCTCCCAAGAGTCCCCAAGTGTTTCCAGAGCAGAGATAAAGCCCCATTTTACAGATGTGGCGATGGAGGCAGAGTCAAGAATGACTCCTCTAAGGTCAGAGAGGAAAGAGTGGCTCAAAGTCCCGCCCACCTGACCCAGCTGTCCACACCTTCTCCTGCTGGAGCCGATTTAGGTCCTCCTCGTGGGCTGCCCGCTGCTCCCTCAGAGAGACTTGTGCCTCCCGCTGAGCCTGCACCAGTCTCTGGGTCATCAGCTCCTTGTCCAGTGCCACCTTCTCCTCTGTTGTTGTGATCTGTTGCCGCAGGCCTGCCAGCTCCCCTGAGTAAAAGGGATGGGGGAAGGCACAGGTTTGACTTGAACCCTTTTCTTGGACCAGCAGGTGAGCCATGTGAGCAAAAGCCCACAATAAAGAGGGCCCACCTGCCATCTAGGCTGGTCCCCTTAAAGAAGTTAGTTGCTTACCCTCTCTGGGTCTCAGTTTCCCTACCTGCTGCATGGGTTCGTTGGGCCTATGCCCCTCCCTGCCTACCTGGAACAGCATTAAGAAGATAAGAAAGACCCCCAAATGGAGAGGATATAAAAAATATAACCACTTTCATTATTTATGGAATATTTATGAGGCAGAAGTTCCTGGGTGGTGTGAAAAATTAAAAGTCCTCGGCAGCTAACCCAAAGCCTATCCAGAGGTACCTCGGTAGAAAGACCTGGCAATGTACTTCCAAAAATCAGCCAGTGAAAACCCTACAGAACACAGTTCTCTGCCACCTACGGGCTCGCCCTGAGTCAGAGCTGACTCGTTGGCATCTGGTTTGCTTTTTCACTATGGGTCAAGTACCTGGCTAAGCACTTTACAGATCAAATTTATTCTCATTCCCATTTTGCAGATGAGGAAACAGAGGCTCAGCAGAGCTGAGTAACTTCCCAAAGTTGCCTAACTTTACATCATCTTTAGGACCAACTGCAGCTCGTACATCAACTAAGGGTCAACGGTTAACACCAATGGAGGTGAGCCATCCAAGGACCACCTCCTGGGTTGGAAACCCAGCAGGGACACCCCTAGCACTTCCCTTCCTAGTTCTCTGGGGCTCAGGCAGACACTGTGGGTGTTCAGTGCCATCAAGCCATTTCCAACTCATAATGACCCTGTATAAGTTTCCTGAGGAGCAGCTGGTGGATTTGAACTACCAACCTTGCAGTTCAAACCAACCTTTCAGTCCAGTGCTTGATTATCCTATAGCTTCATACCAGGACTCCATGGACAGGAAAATTAATTTCCATGGCCCAAGTAGGTGCACAGTAAACATTTGTTTTGAGCGCAGAGCTTCAGTGGGGAACATGGAGGGAAGTGGGGGGCTGGGATTGTGGGACCAACACTCATCTAGAAAGGCCAATGACATCACTGAGCTCTCTAATTGCCTTGGTGACGCTAAGCGGCAGCCACTGTTGACTGAGTTGGGCACTGTGCCAAGTCTTTACATGCTTCTCTCTCTTCACCCAGAAGGTGGGCCTTGTCATCTCTATTATCAGACGAGGTACCTGAACCCAGAGAAGGGAGAGGTAGGCTTAAGAAGGCTCAGACCTGGTGGCAGCCCCAAGACTGGAAGCTCGGTCAGCCACACTCAGTTAGTGCTCCCAGCTTCCATAAGATGCCAGCACTCAGCAGGTTGCAGTCTGTGCTGGTGTCTGGTATGCCCATTCTACCCACAGGTCTCCGTACCAGTCAGGGCCTCCTTGGCCAACATCAGGGCCTGCGCATCCGTTTCCAGCTGCTCCCGGCGGGCATCAAGCTGCGCAAGCTGCTGCCGCACCTCAAACAGATTGCTCTCCAGAGCCTCCTTCTCCAGGCTGCAACACACACAACCCCCCAAGGTCTCGGGACTCAGCCTTCCTGGCCCCAGGAAGCCATGGCTCCCAGGGTGTGGCCAGCTGTAGCCCGGGTGCCAGGTTACCTGCCTGGCCAGATCAGTGCTCCCTGGGGACGCCTGAGCCTTAGCTAGGACGTGTTGGTAAACCCCGCTCCTAAGTAACTGCCCCTGGGGGCTGATGCCAGGGTGTGGCTGGCTCCAGTGTGGCCCCCCAGGGTGGCCTGGGCAGGATAGAGCCTTACCGCAGGCGTGTGGCCTCCTCAGACAGGGTACGGCCTTCACGCTCAGCAGCCGCCAGCTGTACCGCCAAGCCTGCCCGCTCCTTGGCCAGTGTCTCCTTCTCCCGGGCTACTCGCTCAAGTGCTTCCACTTGTCGCTGCCATTCCCGCCGGGCCTGCTCCAGCTCCTGCTCTCGCCCGCTCAGCTGCCGAGAGAGCTGTCCCACCCAGGGACCATGAGCACATGGTCCTGACTCTCCCAGCCCTTATACCCTAGTCCTGACCCAGGCCTGGCCTGGCAGCCAGGAAACCCGGGTTCAAGCCTAGGCTCTGTCCTAACTTGCTGTGTGTACTTGGGGCAAATCACAGCTTCTCTGGGTCTGTGACACACACACACACACACACATTCTAAGATGAGCGTCCTCACTTTTAGTCTGGGGAGTAACAAAACCATTTCTTCACCCTAATATTTGCAGAGAAGTTAATATACAAGGACTTCAAAAAGTTTATGGAAAAATGGAATTAAAAGATAAGGAACAATTTCCACATACTTTTTGAAGCCTTCTTTTATACAGCACAAAGGGACCTACCCTGACCCCTATGCCCCATGCTTGTCCCCTACAGATCCCTCCTAGGAACTCAGCCCTCCAGGACAAACACTGTCACTGGATCTCTAAGCCTCTAAGGTTCCTTAAATCCCCAACAAGTCTCAGATTCCAATTCCAAGATTCTCTCTATTCATTCCCACAAATAACCTTCCCTGAGGGATAACTTGGTACACATCCTCCTTTGTTATGTACTTTACTGGGGTTTTCTCAGGTAAATATCTTCTTTGTGATAAGAACTATTAGCCCCAGATTACAGGTAAGGTGACTGAGGCATGGAGAAATTAGTTGAGTCTTTTGTCCAAAGACACTAGTTAAAGGATTTAACCCCAGAATCCAGCTCCTGAAACTGCAATTTACCCCAGACAGGATGAAGGAGGCTAGGAGCCTCGGCCTCTCCCTGTCTCATGCCCCCTAACAAATACACAGTACTCGGGCCTACCTGGGCCAGCTGCTCTTGCAGCCGGCTGCGCTCCTGGCGTAGTGTGGGGAGCTGGTGGTCCAGGGCCTCCCGAGCCTGCTCCGCCACCCGCAGGGAGCCCTCCAGGCCCTGCCGCTCCACCTCCTGCTCCATCCGCAGCTGTTCCAGCTGTTCTAGCTCCTCCCGTGCCAAAGTGCTCTCCTGCTCTGCCAGCCGCTGGCGCCCCAGCAAGGCTGCCTTTTCCTCCTCCAGCTGCCAGAGACAGGGACAGGATGGGATGGGAAGCGGTGAGCAGATCCACCTTGTTGCCCAGATCCTGCCAGGGTAGCACACCCATCCAGGACCAGGGATGCCTCCTCCTCCCATCCACCTCCCACAGCCAGCCTAGGGAGCCCCTTGGATACAGATACACAGAGTAAGAGAGACAGAAGTGGACACTGAGATGAACACTGAGACCACAAGGGGCTGAGAGAACTGAGCCTGGACACTGAGTGGGGAGGGTGGCACACAGTACCTGGGCGACGAGGTGGTTTAGTCCCAGCTTGTCCTGAGCCAGACTCTCATTGAGGGCGCTCAGCTTAGATAAGGAATCCCGCAGAGAGGCCTCCTCCGCCCTCAGCTTGGTCACCGAGAGTTCGAGCTCCACACGACCAGCCTCAGCCTGTCGGGGTGGGGACCAGAAAGCCAGAGAGGACATGAGATACAGCGAGATGGGGAGCAAAGGGGGAAAAGGCAGAGAGCTGGGGGCAGGCAGGGCAGTGGGGGGCATAGAGGGACAGGGACCCTCAGAGAAAGGGTAGAGGGACAAGGAGGGAGACAGCAAAGATGGAAAACAATCACTGCCCCCGACCTGCTGCCCACACAGCATGCTGAACAAGCACAGATCAACCCAGCTCCCACTGCAGGGAAGGGTCCCAGGTGAGCTCTGGGAGGGCTCCCCTAGACTGTGGTCTATGGGAGGCATTGCTCAGGGCCTAGCTGGGGAGAGCAGGGGAGGTACCACCCAAGGATCTGTACTGTGGCCCCAACTCTCATGGACCCCACAACTTGTGTCCAGGAATGAGGGACTGGCTGACTCTGGACGACTGAGTTACAGCCACTGCCCCAAGAGGCCCTGGGAAAGCAGGGTTACACCGCCAAGAAGCGTCAGTTTACTTGTGGCTGGAAACACAGGTCAGGATGTGGCCTGGGTCAAAGGTTAGCCTCTGTCCAGAAAGGTCAGAGGCGAACCTGAAATAGGGACAGACTGTAACCAGAGTGAAAAAGCTTGGGACCTAAGGTCAGAGGTAGATTTGTGGTGGGGGTCAAAGGTCAGCCCAAGGATTGTCAGTCCATGGTTGTGTGGCGGATAAGACTCACCTTGGTCAGTGCCTCAGCCACCTCAGCTTTCTCTGCCTGTAGCACATCTCGCTGCAGTGTGGCACAGCTCAGTGCCTCCCTCACCTCCACCAGCTCTTTGGCCAGCCCTGAGCGCTTCCCTTCCATCTGTTCCAGCTGTCTGTGGCTATGGGACAAAGCGTGGGCAGGTGCCCTGTGTCAGGGAGGTGAGGCAGGGATCAGGCCTCAGGCAGGAGCTCTAATGGGGGAAGAGCCTCGTCCCTGAGGAAAGTCAGACCCCAACACCTTCTGACTCTGTGACTCTGGACCTCAGTTTTTACATCTGCAAACTGGGGTGACAGCTGCCTCATGAAGCTGTTATAAAGACACATGCTCTACATGAAGTATTTAAAACAGCTCCTGTCACAGTTTCTGAGGAGCTTCAAATATAACAATATTCACTGCCATAATATTGCAATGTTGGTGGTTCAAACTCTCCAGCTGCTCCTTGGAAACCCTATACAGGGTAGTCATGAGCCAGAACTGACTGAATGGCACTTAACGACAAGTTTTGTCCTACACTTTTCTCTCATTCTGTCTAGGACTATATACTGTGCCCTTGGCTACAATAGACTTCATAGGGTTCTCAATGGCTGGTTTTTGGAAGTCGATCGCTAGGCCTTTCTTCCAAAGTGTTTGTGGGTTGACTCAAACCTCCAATCTTTCAGCTAGTAGTTGAGGGTGTTAGTTGTTTGTATCATCCAGGATACTCTCTAGGACACAACATGCTCACTTACCCCCAGAGACACTGGGGGCACCCCGAGGCCCAGCCCAGGCAGGGAGACCAGAAGCTGCTCACCTGCGCTCCAGCTCCCTGCGTGTCCGTGCACCATCCTGCGCTGTGTCCTCTTGTTCTTCTTCCAGTCGGTCTCGCTGGCGCCGAAGCTCCTCCTGGGCCGCCTGCAGCTTCTCCTGCTCCTGACGCAGCTCCTCGGCCTGCTGCTGGGCTATCCGCAGGCTGTCAGTCAGGCTGTCATTCTCCCTACAGGCCAGGGGAGGAGGAACTTAAGGGGAGGCTGGGATACCAGGTAAGACGATGGCCATAGGCCACATTCTCCCATCCTCTAAGGACCTGCCCCTAAGAAGTCTTCTCTGACCCTGTCCGTGGCCAACTCCCTCCTGCTGGTTCCCTGGAATGACTTCCTAGCAGAGAACCTGCTTACCCTTTTGCTAACCAACCCCTTAGAGGCCCCTTGAATGGACGGTAGCTGCTGTACATCTGACCAGTTCTCACTTACTCTCTGGGTCCCCCATCTCAGAGCTTCCAGGCACCTGCTCAGGAGGTCATTAGCGCTCCGCAGACGCTGAGCCTCGCGCTGGGCATCCTCATGGGCCTGGGCGGCCCCATCAGCCTTATCCCGCAGACGCTGCAGTTGCTCTTCCAGGGTCCGGCGCTCCCCCTCGCTGTCACTGAGCTGTTTCCGCAGGGTGCCCAGGAGGTCCTGGCTAGCCTCGTAGCGCCCGCGCATGTCCTACGGTCCCCCACCAGAAATCACTCAGAGTTAGCAGGATTCCAGAGCCCACCCTGACCCCTGATGTTTCCTGAAATACTCACCATCCTACACTATGTCCTGGCCTGGAGCTGGGAAATGGGAGAAGCGTCTTACCTCCTTCACTGCACCCTTGTCACCCTTCTGAACCCTCGTCCTGACTCTGAGCCCCACCTCTCTCTGGGGCCCTGCAACTCCAACATAAACCCCAAGCAACTCAGGGAAAACACCAAACACATGCCTTCCTCTTCTAGGTTTGGATAGAACTAAGCTGTGCCCACCAGAGGACTCCCCAGAGCTCCCAGGCTCCTCCCCTTTCCACTCAAGTTCCACTTCGACTCCTCCCTACTTGGCTCCCACTCTGCCTATAGCTCCCTCTAGAGGAACTAGCTCCTCTAACTCTGATTCCTCCTCCAAGACTTTACTCAGGATCCTGGTTTCATCAGGCTGAGCTCTTACCCCACATAAGCTTCTCTCTGCCCCAGGTTCCTCTTTCCGTTGCCCAAGCACCTCCCACTCTGGGATCAGATACTGCCCAGAGGTCTCAGCTACCTCTTGGCTCATGAGGGGGTCTACAATACTCAGCTGTCCTTTCTTAAGGCTCTGGATCCACCCCAGGACTCTCGGGGCTCTCCCAGGGTCAGGGCTCCCCTGCCAGGATGCCTAGGTTCCGCCCATGGCTCCTAGCTCCGCCCTACCTGGACCTGCAGCTGGCGCTTGTGCAGTGCTGAATGGATCAGAGTGAGCATGGAGGAGTCAGAGCAGGCTGGCGATGGGGCTCGGCGTGGGGAACGACCGCGGCCTGGCGAGGACCGCTGCTGTGGGGACGGGGTCCGCAGACCCGAGAGTCCCCGTAGGCTGCCGTCCGATGCATCGGCTGTGCGCTCGGAACCGCTTAGCTGAACACCGCTCTCGGCGTCTGATAGGGCCGCCTGCGATGGAGGTGGGGTGGGACAAAAGGAAGAGGGGTACCGGAGTTAAGTAGACTCTGCAGCACATTCCAAAGTCCCTTTCCTACAAGTTCTCTTGCTTCCACCTGTTCTACTAGGTCACAACTTTCCAGCCCTCAGTAAGGATTTCCATTTGTAGAAACACTGATTGGGAAGGCGCCCTTCAAGTTTCTCAGGGATGGGTTCTGTCCCCCACCCTTCTAGCAGCCAGTCTAACAGCAACGTGGGACCCCAGGTCGGTGACCACATGCAATTCAGCCTAAGGCCACCAGAGGGTAGGATGGCCCAGACTGCCTGGCCTTGCTCAGCTCCAGACTCCCACTCCTTCAGGTCTCTCCTCTGGCTTCCCACCTGGGCCAAGTCTCTTAGGGTCTGCTGTAGCCCCTCTCCATCCTCTGCCTCTAGAGCCGCCTGCTCCTGTAGCCTCAGAGATTCCTGGAGTGGGGTTGGAGAGATAAAGAAAGGGTGGTGAGGGTCCCTACCTCAGTCTGAGGCGCACCCTACCAGGTGGCCTCTAGGGCCCTGCCTAGTAGACCCCACAGCAGCCCCACTGGTCTCACTGGACAAGGCCCAAAGAAGGTCTATATCTTGTCCCAGGTCACACAGCCTGTTGGAGGAGAGCCAGATCCACACAGAAGGGTGTCCAGCCCTTAGGAAGGAGGACCCTTGAAGAATGTCCCTCTGCTGGGGAGGCAGCTGAGTTCCAAGGGGAAGAGACCTGGGCTGGGAGGGAGCACACATGAGTTCAAGTCCCAGCTCCCTTGCATACTGGCTCTGAGACTGGACAAGCATTTTTGAGACTCTGGGCAACTAATTCCCCACTATGGCTGTTTCACCTGGGTAATGGGAGTTATGTTACAGAGAGGGCGGAGCTGAGAGGATTGAATGGGTTCAAGGAGATGAATGTCACACTGCTTGCTAAGTGTGGCACTCAGTTACTGAGTCTGAGTCTGAGCAGATTCTCAGGGGTAGCCCCAGCAGACACCTTAAGCCTGGGTCCATGCTCTGGTCAGTCCCCCACCCCACCTTGCCCTCCCAGGGTGGTCACTCTCACCAGTGCCTCCAGCTTCTCAGTCAGGGCCTTGTTGGCCTGATCCTTCTCTAGACTCTGGTTCTGAAGGCTCTCCACCACCTGGGCCAACTCTGTCACTCTGCAGGGACGGGAGGAACAGAGGTGAATGGGGGCCGAACCCAGCTTTTCTCCAAGCCTACCAGCTTCTGCACTCTTCATCTTCCCCAAAGCCAAGGCAGGCACCCTAGACTCCACCTCCCTAGCTGTATGCTCATAGGAAAGTCACTTCTCGCTAAACCTCAGACTTCTCATCTATAAAAAATGGAAATGGCACTTTATCTCATGGGAAGTGCTTTGTGACTTGTGTAGGTAGCTGGAGTTATGAGTACAAGTTCTAGCTGCTTGTGGCTGATGGGCTCTGGGTAACAGCCTATGAACCTCAGTCGCCACCTCTGTTAAATGGGTTGCCTGGGAAGACTTGCTGAGTTTACACGGAGAAAGGGAATGTCTCCAGTGAATGGGCACTCCCTTCTCCTGACATCTCCATCAGGAGTACCATCTGCATGCAGACCTGCCTTGCAATGACCACCAGGTACCCACCTGGCACTAAGGTCGGCCTTGTCCAGGTCGTTCTGCACCTGCAACTCAGCCAGGTCTTTCTCACGGAGCATCTTGTCCTGCAGCTGTTCCTCCAGCAAGACCTGCTTCTCAAGGGCAGCCTCGGCCTGGCTCTCAGCCAACCGCAGGCCAGCGCTCAGCCCCAGGCCCACCTCCTGGACGGCCCGCGATGTCCGGGCCAGCTCCCCTCCCAGCTGCAGTAGGTCCCTAAGGAGAGGTCACACAGTATGTTTGTGAAAGGGGCATGGGCTCCCAGGGACAAATGTAAACTACATTGGGATGCCACCTGCCACAATCAGATGGGAAAAAAAGACAGTTGTGTAACATACAGTGTGGGTGAAACTATGGGGAAATGCTCTCTCAGAGCATATGGTGGGGGGATAAGTGGGTTCAACAATCAAACCTAACCAAATGAGTCAATCCCAACTCATGGTGACCCCATGTGTGCATTCTACAACGGCTCCATGAGGTTTTCAAGGCTGAAACTTTTCAGAAGGTCAAAGTACCTCAGGGTGGGTCCAAAGTGGAGCAGTTAAGTAGCTGCACCACCCAGGGAGACACCTGGTACAACCACAATGGAGGGCACTTGTTGGTAGGTACCATCGGATCAGCACTGACTCATAGCAACCTTATGCACAACAGAACAAAATATTGCCCAGTCCTGTGCCAACCTCATAATTGTTGCTAAGCCTGAGTCCACTGCTGCTGCAACTGTGCCAATCTGTCTCCTTGGGGGTCTTTCTCTTCTTTGTCTGACTCTCCACTTTACCAAGCATGATATCCCTCCTGACAATATGCCCGAATTATGGAAGATGAAGTCTGGCCATCCTGGCTTTCAAGGAGCACTCTGGCTGCACATCTTCCAACAAAGATCTGTTGGTTCTTTTGGCAGCCCATGGCACTTCCAATATTCTCCTCCAACACCATAACTAAAAAGCATCAATTCTTCTACGGTCTTCCTTATTCACTGTCCAGCTTTCACATGCATATGAGGTTATTGAAAATACCATGCTTGGGTCAGGCGCACCTTAGTCAAACTGACATCTTTGTCTTCAACACTTTAAAGAAGTCTTGTGCAGCAGATTTTCCTAATGCAATACGTCGTTTGATTTCTTGGCTGCTGCTTCCATGAGTGTTGATGGCTGATCCAAGAAAATGAAGTCTTTGACAACAAATATTTCGTTAGGACCCAGCAATTCTAGCTCTAAGAACTGAACCTATAGATATACTTCAATGCAAAAGTAAAATGACCTGTAGAGAAGGTGATCCAATGCAAAATAGTTTCTGCAAAAAATGCTGGTGGCAACCGAAATGTCCATCGAAGGGGACTGCTAGTAACTAAATCATGGTATGACCACTCAGTGGCATATTCTGCAGCCAAGACAAAAAACAGGGCAGTTTTTCATAGCTTGATGTGGAGCCACCTCTCAGTGGTAATGATTAGGTGAAGAGACAATCTCTAAGAACTGCAAATATGAAACTCTACCAAGAAGATAAAAAGGGAGGGGGAGTGTGTGTGTGGATTGTGTGTGTGTGATTTGCTGTACTTGCTTGAACGAAATAATCCTAGAAGGTCTTTTAGATAATTACTAACACAAGGGCGTTTCAAAACATTTGTGGAAAAATTTCATTATCTTTCATTCTGTTTTTCCCACATACTGTTGAAGTTCCCTTATGCTGCTTGTCTCTAAGGAGGGGAGGGGAGTGGTTGGGGGTAGAGGTGGGCGAGAAACTTTTCACTATCCACCCATTCATACCTTTTGGAATTTGGCCCCTGTGAATATGTGACTTATTCCAAAATAAAACAAGAATTTTAAATGCTAGTTAAAAATGTATTTTGAATCTATCAGCTTGGCCTTTCTTGAAGAATCATACTACTGGATAGCTAATAGTAATACAGGGAAGTGCCTCGTTATAGAAGAATTACGGTTAGAGTGTAAAATATCCAATTCAGTAACCTCTCTTAAATGTCTAGCTCTTCACAAACGGAATGTGGGATCCTATCCAGAGACACAGTGACACCAGAGATGGAGGCAGAGATGAGAACATGGAGAGAGCCAACAGCTGAGGGCTCTAGACTCATGGAAAGAGAGGGACTAGGTGCTGGCAGCCAGGAGGCAGGCTTGCAGAATGTGCCCTTTGGTTGTTTAAATTATTATATATTCCTGAGTGTTTTTATGTACCTCTCCCACACACACAAAAACAAAACAAAACAAAACTGAGGGAATGGAAGCAAATCCTGCTGAATGATGATGCAGAGATTGTAATCATTGCAATGAAACAATGGTGTAAAGCTGATGTTCTCCCATGTAAATTATCACTCAGTTTACAATAAAAACTTAAAAAAACAAAAATGTCTGGCTCTTGGCACTGAATATCAAAGGGCCACAAAATCACAAAAAGTAAGGCAACCAGGCATCAAAAATGCTGCCACCTTTCTGAGGGAACCTTGCCAAAAAAACAAAACTAAATTAAACTAAACAACTAACCCTGTAGCTAATCAAGCCTTAGATCCAGCATCCAATTTGCCAGAATTACAGGGGGCAGAGGGGCATGTTAAATGACACCACAAGGATGTGGCGAGCAAAATCCAAACTGGAAATCTCTAAGGACAACTGTTCCTATTGCTTGAAAGAAATCAATGGCATTGAGAATGTTGCCTTGGGCATTGTGCTCTTTTAAGCTCTATCTGTTGTTATTGTTACGTGTCATCAAGTCGTTCCGACTCATAGCGACCTTGTATAGGGTTTCTGAGGAGGGACTGATGAGCTTTAACAGCCGACCTTGAGGTTCAAACTGACTTTGCAGTCCTGCGCATTAACCCACAGCACCATACCAGGACTCCAAGATCTGTCTACATGGAATCAAATTAATAACAATTTAAAAACTTAGATAGGAAATTTAGGGGACAGTGGGATTACATGATTGAGGGGGTGGTGGGTGGGCAGAACACCTTGGAACAAGAGAGAATGGCTTCATAACTCATACAATGTAAGTAATCAGTCTCACTGAATTGCACCAGTAGAAATAGTTGACATTAATGAGTCTAACCATTCACTTCTGCAGACTAGAATTCTGGGTATCTATGTCTTTTCCCCACTAGAGGTTGCAAGGTCCTTGAGTGCAGGAGCCAGAGATCCTAGTGGATTAAAAGCAAAGTTCCAGAATCAGACAATTCTTTTTCTTTTTTTTTTTTTAAATGTTTTATTGTGAATTATGTGATAGTTTACATGGGAGAACATTAGTTTTACATTCACCCTATCGTTTATTGTTTCATTGCCATGGTTACAATCCCCTCCATGCATCATCAACCAACCAAAGGGTATACCCTGCAAGCCTGCCCCCAGTGGTCAACACACAGCCCCTCTTTTTCTCTGGGTCTAGAGTCCCCAGCTGCTCCATCTCTCCACGTCATTGTCTCTGCCTCCATCTCTCCACGTCATTGTCTCTGCCTCCATCTCTGGTGTCATTGTTTCTCTGGGTAGGGTCCCGCTCTCTGCGCTTCTCCCTTGATGGTCCCAGGGACCTCCGCTCCTAGACTGAAAAGTTAATCACTCCCCTCTTTGCTACAAAACGTCTACCTTTACATTTCCAACTTTCAGAGTCAGTCCTGATAACAATTATTCACTATTGTATCACAAGAGACCTATCAGCATTTCCTTTCATCAGCCCAGCCTAGACAGATTGGATACTACTCAGTGGACAGTCTACCTTCTGCCACGCCCTCTGGATCTAGGCTCCCTCTTGAAAGGTTGTAATCCAGTCACTTCTTGCCTTTGTAGCCCCCCCACTTTGGGTAGCCAATGTCCAAGTTGACCATCCCGGTCTACTCTGTGTATGGGAGGGGTGGGAATGATCCTCCATGTAAAGATTTGTTCCCTCTTTTTGAGCTACTGCATCCATAAGTATAGGTCAAGTTCATCAAATTGTATCAGATGACTCTTTTTCCTCTTCGTGCTCCTCTGGTTGAGCTCTGATCATCCAGTCATTGAAGCCAGGACAAGTGGGTATTATCTGCAAGTGTGGGTGTTCTTATGCATATGCCCTCTCTTCTTATCAGCTGGACGCTTCACTCTCCACTCTAGTCCTCTGTAGCTATGTCACTGACTCTGGGCCCAAGAGTCCCCAGGTCTTACCACACTGCTGGCCAACCAGGTCTCCACCTGGGTTCACAGGAGTCTACTGGATGTTGTAGGGCTTAGCTCACTGCTTCATTGCTGTTTTCCCCTCACTTTCCCTTATTGGAGACGACCATGGTCACCGAATCAGACAATTCTGATTTGGTCATTTGCTTTACCTTGGGGAAGTCGCTCAACCTCTCTGGGCTTCAATGTTATGTGTAAAATGGGGATTCACAGTCAGTGATGCTGTGAATATTACCTGAAATAAGGTGTCCAGAGTCTGCTGTTGTTGCTGTTAGGTGCAGTTGAGTTGATTGTGACTCACAGTGACTCTGTGAACAACAGAAGGAAACCCTGCCCGTGTCCTGCACAGCCTCACAGTTGTTAGGTTTGAGCCCATTGTGGCTGCCACGGTGTCAATCCACCTCATTGAAGGTCTTCCTCTTTTTCATTGATTCTCCACTTTCCCAAGCATGTCCTTCTCCAGAGACTGGTCCCTCCTACCAACAGGACTGACAACATGTCCAAAGTTCAAGAGATGAAGTTCGTATTTCTTCCAGAACAGATTTGTTAGTTTTTCTGGAAGTCCATGGTACTTTCAATATTCTTCATCAACATAATTCAACTGCATCAATTCTTCTCCAGTGTTTCTTACTCACTGTCCAACTTTCACAAGCATACGAGGCAACTGAAAACACCATGGCTTGGGTCAGGCTCACCTTGGTCCTGAAAGTGGTATCTTTGCTCTTGAACACTTCAAAGAGGTCTTTTGCAGCAGATCTAGCCCAATGCAATATGTCATTTGCCCAAGAGCCTAACTCTGAGTAAATGCCTAGAAAACACTAGTTGTTGTGATTGTGGAGACTTGTCTGGTGTCACCTCTGTCCTCACAGGGTCTGGCACACAAGTGATTTGAACTGAAGTTTATTTGAGTTAAGTGCAATTTAAAGAGTGGGTTGGCTCGCAGCTGCTGCAGTCTCTTCAAACTGCCCCCTCCACCTGCCAGGCCACCCCTCTCAGTAGATATCTTACCTCTCAGTGGACATCTTCACCTTGCTGACCAGCTGTCGGACCCCCACAACTTGCCTCCAGAGGATGAGCAGGCGGCTGTGCTCGTTACTGAAGTAAGTGTTGAAGGACTAGAGGGAAGATGTGTCTGGGTGAAATGATGCCATGAGGGTCTGGTTTGCTTCCTCTCCCAAACACTCCCAACTACAGCCACCCACAGCGTGGGGCTTCCCACGGCCAGCACAAGGGCTATGCATTGGAGCTGCCAGCCCCCATGGTGTCCTCTTGTACAGGGAGCTGGGTTTCAGTGTTTCCATCAACAAAGGCAGCGAACAGGGCAGGAAGTGCCGAGAACCTAGGTTTATTAGGTGCAGCTACTTTTGTTGTTAAGGAGCTCTTGAAGCGTAGTGGTTATGAATTAAGCTGTTAATCTCAAGGTCAGCAGTTTGAAACTACCAGCTGTTCGGTGTAAGATGAGGCTTTCTGCTTCCATAAAGGTTTACAGCCTCAGAAACCTTGTACAGGGTCGCTAAGAGTTGGAACCGACTCCATGGCACATCAACACCACGTTTGTTGTTGTTAGTGCTGTTGAGTCAGTTCAACCCTGTGTAGGGTTTCCAAGGAGCAGCTGGTGAGTTTGAACTACCGACCTTCTGGTTCAAACCAAATTTGCAGTGCAGTCCTTATCCTACAGCACCACACCAGGACTCTGGGTTTATCAGGTGCCGCTACATAGCCTTTCTTTAAACTGAGCACAATGACATGCCTACCACATGATTAGTGTGAAGTATCTGTACACCTGGCCCATAACACCAGGTACAAAGCCAGCTATGAGAATGACAGCTCTTAACCTGGCAGACAGGACACCCCTCCCCATCTCCCTCTCCAGACTTCAGAGTCCTTACTACTCTACCCATCTCTTCGGCTCACGGGGGACCCACCAAGACTAACTGGCCTGCCTGCCTCCATGATGCCCACCTCCTCCTCACGCCTCCATGCTGCCTCTCGCTGTTCCAGCTCCTGGCGGCTGCGTGTCCAGTCACTGGTCACCTTGCGTATGTCCTCGCTCAGAGCCTGGTTGGCGGAGCCCACTTGGTCCAGTTGTTCTCGGAGCATAGCATTCACCTGGGCCAGGCTGGCGCTCCTGAGCCAGGTCAAAGGGGAAGGGTCAGGCCAGCCCCACTCTAGGCCTCACCCACTTGTATCAGAAGGTCCCCTCCCCTACAGCAGCCCACCTCTGCTGCTCCTCCTCCAGCCTAAGGAGGGTGCTCTCCAGGTCCCGGCTGTGCTCACTGTCCTGGGGGAGGGGCAGCAAAGAGGAGCAGCAGGTTAGACACATGGAAGGCAGTGGCAGCCCTCCCTCTACCCTGTCAGCACCCACCCTCAGTCGTTGCTGCTCCAGCTCCGTGGATTGCTCCAACAGCTGCTGCTCCATCTCTGTGCACTTCTTCTTGTACTGGAGGATCTGGGGGCCAGAGGGCAGAGAGCAGTGGTCAGCCCTGGGGGGCGGGGGGAGTGGGAGGAAGTAAGCACATGGGCAGGCTGGAGCGGGGTGGGCAGCCCTGACCTTGGCCTGTAGCCGCTGCACAAGCTGGGCCTGCCGCTGCTGGCCCTCCTGATAGGCCTGCAGCTTGCGTCGGTAGGAGGCTTGCTCCTCTTGCAGCTGGCGCCGCAGCTCCACGCTCTGGCGGACCAGCCCTCTGGGCTCCAGCGTCTCCAGCTCCCCAGACTCCAGCCGAACAGCCTGCTCCAGCTGCAGGGAAAGGCCCTGGTTGAGAGTGCTGAGCCTCTCAGGAAGGCAGGCACAGGTTTCTGCAGGGGGCGCCAGGCTGCTTTCCTGGCACCTGGGGGAGGCGGGCACATGTGGGCAAGCCCAGGATACATGAGTGAGCATGCATGTGCTAATTAATTAATGTAGCTGTGCATGGGCACACAGACCGGAAGTACATACATGTGGAAAGCATGCACACATTAAAGTGGGCCCACTAATGTGTGAATGCAAACACGTGCATGCAAACTCAGAGGCTCTGGCTGCACCCTGTGTCTCTCCTCAGAACAAAGCCATGATTATTAATCATGCTGCCCCTCCCCCACCTACCACCACCACCCACCCACTCCTGCAGGAGCTCAGGAAAGTCTGGTGTTCTCCATTCTCTTAGTGTCTAGAAAGGAGGTTGAGATGAGTAAATGGCATGAACACATGGAAACACACTCATAACAGAGGTATCAGCACACACAGGAATATCTGAGCTTATCAAAATGCACATGCATAAAGCACACAGGCAGTCCCAAACATACGGGGGGTGGGGGACATGATGAACCCCTCCCATCCATACACACCGGATGAAGATTGGTAAGAAGTGTAAAGGAATGCTCCAAAATTCAACATGTGCTTATTAAATGCTCTCTCAGCCCCAGCCCCTACCACCGCCCCCCCACCCAGGCAGCTGGGAACTCCTGGGCTCAGAGTCAGTGACATAGTCACAGAGGACTAGAGTGGAGAATGATATGTCCAATCAGAGCCCTTTGGGCAGGCCAGCCCCTTCCCTGCCCAGACTGCCCCACCTGGAGGACTCCTGCAGCCTCCTCTAGTTATTTGGGGGTACGGCTGATGCTGGGTGGGGCTGAGCAGAGGAATGAGGTCCTTAGAGAACCAACAGGGCCATTCTCCATGAAGCTCAGCTACCTATGAAGCTGACCCCGACTCACCATCCACCTCCCCAACACCTGGCCTTCACAGCGGCCTTCATGAAGGCACCCAGACCCCCTAGCCAGTGAGTGCCACGTGGGTCAGCCAATGGGAAGGGCAGCCGTGACGTCCATGCTAAGCTGAGGTCTGGACCGGGACACCCAGCAGGTCTACAAGCCAAGACAAAGCTTGAGACAACCTCACATCTATGCCCGGGGGTGCCCACACTAAGGAAGGGCCTGCTGTGCCTATAGGGTGGGGGAAGGCCGTGTCTGTCTGAAGTCACCTAGGTGAGGGGTGCGGGGGGGCAATGGTCTGTGTAATCGCTGTGGCTAAGGTGCTGTGCACTGTGCATTGACCAGCATCTGGACAGTGTGTGGACTCACCAGTGCAGCATGTGGTATCATTTGTCTCCACCTGGGACCCTGTGTGTCTCTATGTGTCGGTACTGGGTCATGTGTCTGGTGCGTCTGTGTGTACCTGGGCCCATGCTCATGTGCATGTCTACGTATCTGTGGGTGTCACAGAGGTGTGAGGCTGACTGAGTGGGGTTAGGGTGTGTGTCGGCAACTATACAATGTGTGGGACAGATTGTGGGGCTGTGTGCTTTGTGCTGTCCTTGTGTATCTGTGAGACTGGAGACAGATGTGTCGTCTGCACTATGGGCACATCGTGGTGGTAGGACCATCTGTCCAAGTGGCACGTTCTGTGGGTCTGTGTGTAACTATATGGTGTCTGACCAAGGGTGTGGAGTAGACTGTGCATACTCTGTGAGCCTGAGTGTCCGAGGGGTGGGTCTCTGTGGCACATGAGTTTTGGATATCTGTGTGTACCATGTGGGGTGTGAAAGTCACCAGCCGCTCCAAGGCACAAATCTGAGGCTTTCTACTCCTGTTTTACAGCCTAGGAAACCCTGAGCAGGGTCGCCATGAGTCGGCGTTGACTTGCAGGCAGCAGGCTTGGGTTTGGTGTGAACCAGGTACTATTTGCTTCTGTGATTAAGACGGGTCTAGGGTCAGAATCAACTCGACGGCACTTAACGACAACACTAGGTAGTTGCTGGACTGCAAAGCCAGTTTGAACCACAAGATCGGTGGTTCAAGCTCAGCTGCCGCTCCTCAGAAACCCTACACAGGGTCACTGTGGGTCAGAACCGACTACTACAACAACAGGCAGTTGCTGGGTACTCCACCTCTTCCCAGTGCTCAGAGCCAGGCCCAGTCCACTGTCGGTCACACCTCATTCCATCCCATAAACCTGGCCCCTCACAAAACAGCCTTTCAATTGCATTTATAATTCAGAAGGGGAGGAGGCCACCATCACACTAGGGATAAAAAAAGTTTACCGTCTCCCCTGGCAACTGCTGCTCTAGTGCCTGGGATTCAATTCAACTCGGTCCAGGTTGCCATGGACACTGGGGGAGCTCAGGGGTTCTCCTCTGAGCTGAGGGGGTGTGGACATCCCTCTTTCCCATCCTCAGCTGCCTCCCCTACACCTGTTCCTCAAGAGCAAAAATGGAGGCAGGGCTCCACAGGAGCTGTGAGGTCCTTTCTAACTTGGGAGGTGCCCCCACACCCGAAACCTTTGCCTCAGTTTCCTTACATGTAGTTAAAAAGACATAGATCCGTACGCCACTACCACTACTCTCTATGCCAAGGATGCTATGGGGCTTAAAGGGTCAGAACAACCTCCCTGACTGTCCCGCATCTAGCCCACATGCAACCGCTGGGGTCACAGGGCGGCCCTGCCACCTTCAGGTACTGGAACAAGTGGGCAACAGGGAGACTGTGCCACAGGATAGCAGAGCTCTGAACTGGAATCCAGGAAACCTGAGTCCACATCCCAGTCCCACCGCTGACCTGGACCTCAGTTTCCCCATCTGTAGGGAGGTAATCTCCAGGCTCATATGTTCTCTGTGGGCCAGAGAGGATGCATACTGAGCAGTATACAGTTCAAACACCGCCTTCTCTCTACTAGTAAGTTTTCTAGGCAAAACCGGTCCCCTCAGCAAATACGTGCTAACAGAGACAGGAGCCTCCCACCTCTTCTTCCCCTTCCCTGCTGGCCACATCATGAGCCAGAAGTTGGCATTTAAGAAGCAGCCCCCCAGGGCCTGGCATGGGACCAGAGACTGAAAGAAGAAAGGTCTAAAACCAGGGGACTAGCTCAGGCCCCCAGCACCACCACAATGCAGGGCTGGGGCCAGTCCGTCCTCCAAACCCCCCTCCGCACCCCCAAGCCCTGGGAAGACTAGCTCTGCATTGTCCTGAGTGCTAAAGATTACCAGGGATCCTCACCCTGCTCCTCGGCAAGTCCCAACAAGTCAGGGGCTAGTCCAGGCGTGCAGACATCAGGACACGGCGGACACACAGGCAAACACAGAAATGCGACTCGGCACACCAGGTCTGGTGTGGATGCGCCTGGCTCAGGGGGCCCCGGGCTAACCTTGGTTCTGCCACTACCACACAGGGGCACGTGGTCCAGGACCTGTCCCCTTTAGGTCTCAGTTTCCCCATCTGTAGCATCATGGGGTCACACTGGTTAGTACCTGAGGGCCCTTTCAGTTTTCCAGGGGCCAGTTGCCCCACGGAAGCCCCAGCCCAGTTTGTTCACAAATCCAGGAAGCAAATTCACAATTGCAGAACTCTGGTCTGGGAGTCCAGACCTGGATTCTAGCCGTAACTGGTCACGTGATCCTGAGCCTACTGCTTCTTGTCTCTGAGCTTCAGTTTTCTCCTCTGTGAAATGAGCATCGTAATGGTACTAACCTTGATGCTTTACATATAAAGCATCGAGCACATGCCTGGCACTCAGTAGCCACTCAATAAGTGTCAGCTACTATTACAAATGTTACTACCACACACACATCTCCCATCTGCACACACACACACACACCTTCCCTCGTACAACTTTCTCACTAACTTTCAACTACCATCAACTCCCTAGGGTCCCCTCCTACAAGCCTAGGGGCCCAAAGGAGACAGCGCATCCTAAGGATCCTGCATCCTGGTCCTGGTTTGCACCCACCTCTTGCCCTGGGCCCTGCACCTTGGAGGCAGGCCTGGCTTCTCCTTCTCTGCTTAGCAGAGCCTCACCCCCATAGGAAATGGCAGCAGACAGGCCTGAGAAATGGTGTCTGTGCCAATACCAGCCTGCTCCAGAGCCCAGCCCCTGCCTCAACCCAAACCAATATCCAATGCTGTCAAGTCAATTCCAACTCTTAGCAAGCCCATGTGACTCAGAGAAGAACTGCAGGGTGTCTATGATTGTATTTGTACAGATGCAGATCACCAGGCCTTTCTTTTGTGGTACCTCTGGCTGGCTGGGAATGGCCAATCTTTTGGTTAGCAACTGAGTGCAAACAGTTGGTGCCACTAGGGATTTTGCCTCAACCACAAGGAACATGTAAATGAAAGCAAGAGGAAATGTCCAGAGAATTGAGGGGCAGGAGAGCCCTTTATGATTCTGTTCTCTGTGCCCTCCACCCCAATTAGTCCTGGGACAGACGGGAGTGAAACACCCCATGCCAGGTATTTTAGCCCATTGATTCCTCCCTCACACCAACTGCATGTCGTATGACCATTCCACTTTGGCTCAAGGCCATTCAAGTTGACAGAGCTAGGATTTGAACCCAGGCCGGCTCAATCTTTTGATCAGCATGTAATCCTGGTCTGGCAGTCTTCCTGAACTAGCAGCAGGGGAGCCCCTGGACCAACCCCTAAACCTGGGGCAGCACTCACCCTCTCACTGACCGCATTGAACTTGATAGCGAGTTCGTCGCGCTCAGCACGGCTCTGGGCCAGCAGGTCCTCCACTCGGGTCAGCTCCTTCTGCAATAGCTGATTCTCCTCTTGCAGTGACAACAGTGAAGCCATCTCTGTGACCGCCAGCTGGGCTGATGAGGGACAGTCAGCCCCTGGTTGGCTTTCTCTTGGTGTCAGTGGGACATCCTCCCTCCACCAAAATCCTACCCATCACCCAGGGTGGGAAGAAGCACCAAGGCCTGGGTGGGAATGGGCATGGCACAAGATCGTACAAACGCAGGTGATGAGTAAAGGGTGGGGAAAAGAGAGGGGCCCAAAAACAGACTAGAACTTTCCCCCCTGCAGGCCCCCAAGGTACAGAGGAGCGGCTCAGTCTAGGAGGCAGGAGAGTAAGCCTCAGAACCTAGTTTCCTCCTTTTCCAATGACTGCTCTTCTCTGACCTCAGTTTTGCCCATCTATAAAATGGGTAGAAAAGTATCTAGCTTTGGTCAGGCAAGCCCAAAAGCCTCTTTAAAGACAAGAATCTCATGTAGCTTCTGAAGCTAGACAAGGTATTACAGGTCAGGTTATTAGGAGAAAGGGGAAGTAGAAGAGGAAGAGGAAAGAAAGGCTAGAGGGAAAAGCATGGGTGTCTCCTCCTATGGGCTCCTCTCTACTCTGGGAGACACATGCTGCAGCCTGCCATATGCTTCCAGCTCAGAGAGAGGGGCTCTCTAAGCCTCTCCCTGGTTAAGTATGCCAGGGGCCCTAACAGCCCTGGTCCTCCAAGGAGCAGCCAGGCCTTACCCAGTAGTTGCATAGGGACTTTGAGAGAACCAAAACACCACCAGGAAGAGAGGCAAACACGGAGTTGTGTCCTTCACAGACCCTCAAACCATATAGTGAGGCTGTGCGTGGGCACAAGAGGGGCCCATTCACCTCCCTGTGTGTATGGGGAGTAGGCGGCACTACCACAAAGTCCTGGTCTGAGCTGAGCGATGCCCCTTCTACCTCTACCTCAGCCAGATCACACCTTCCCTGGGAGGGAATATGGTGATTGGGGTTCAAGTCTTTGCAGCAGGCTGCAGGCATGCAAGGTGAGGGGTGCTCAGCCTTTCTAACCTTATCACATGGGGTGCATATCTGGGCAAATGACATTGAAGCTCTGAGCCTTTATTGCCTCATCTGTAAAATGGGTCTCTTCATTACAGGGCTGTGTCTGCCTCACAGTGAACATTTAGGAAACATGACCATCACTACTGCCTGCTGAGGAGGGGGACATGGGAGGTGGTCTGTGGAGGGCTAGTGCAGGGTGGTGGTACCTGTGCTCTCAGGCTCGGAGAGGTTTCGGGTAACAATCTCCCGGATGCAGGCGGATAGGCTGGTGGGCTCAGAGTCCTGGGCCGGGTCCTGCACACTCAGGCCTTTCTCCTGGCCAGGCCTCAGGATTCTACTCTCCAGTGTCTGCAGGGGATGAAGGCAGCTCTGTGGGGGCCTGGGACAAGGCTCAATGGCAAGTGCCCAGGAGACACGTTCGGGAAATCTCCAAAATGTAGGAAGCTTGGACATCAGAATCCAATTGACAAAGAGCTCCGTGAGAGAAAAGTCTGGGGTACCTCTGCCCTGGAAGGACTAGAGAAGCACGCCAAACCCCATGGCTGACTAGGAAGCCCATTGGACAACTCAAGGTGAGTGAGGCCCCTTGTGGTGACAGAGAACACACAAAAATGAGGTTAGGGACCCCCCCCCCAGGGTACTGGGATAAGGAAGCCAGGGCAGTTGGTTCTGCTCCCCCACCTCTCTGCCCCCAGTCTGGTGGATAGCTGACACCAGGGTCCCTGTGCACCCCAACACTGTCATACCTTCTCCCACTCTCAACCCCTACAATGCACTAATCTTTTCTCACTCCTGCTAAAACCACCCACCGCTCCCCTGCCCTGGATAGGGCAGCCACAGTCCCCAGGACCCACCTGGATAATCTTCTCCAGGGTCAGCTGGGCTTCCAATGAGCACTCCAGCCCTAGGCTCATACAGGGGGCTGTGGGCACCTCTCCTGGCCCCAGTCTCCTGGGCCCCAGAGACTAGATGAGCAGGTTTGCCCCTCCGCCTGGGCTACTGTGCTGAGCCCTGGACAGATTAGGTTTAAACCCAGCAACTCCCCCATGTGACCACTAAGGGGGAGGAGCGGGGTGGGGGGGTTCAGGGAGGGGGAGGGGTGGAAGAGGAAGAATGAGAGGGTTGGAGACTGGAGATGGGGGTGGGGAGGCAGAGAAGGAGGGCAGGGGTGATGATGAGGACCCCTCTTGGAAGGCTGCTGGGTCCTAAAGCTCACCAATCCACAGGGTGTGAGCAGCATCCAGGGGCCACAAAGGCCAGAGTCCTAAGTCTAAGGACTGGTTTCTCTGACCCAGAACCCGACTCACATGGTTTGTTAGGAATGTTCTAACAGGGCACTGGCAGGACGTGTTCCACATGGGTTGCAGGCTGTGGAACTGAATCCCACCACCAGCTATGTGCCTCCAGGAAAGTGACTTGGCTTCTCTGAGCCTGTGTCCTCATGTGGGAGACGAGGATAATATCGGTGCCTACCTTAGGGAGTTGCCTAGGGTGCTAAATGAAATATCCTGGGTGCATAAAGTGTGCAGCACGTTTGAAAATGCAAAACGAACAATCTCCCACATAGGGTTACTGTACAGATTAAATAAATTGTCAGGTTTATATCACACCTGGCCCATTAAATAAATAAATAAAAACACCAAACCAGTTGTCTTCAAGTCGATTCTAATGAATGGCGGCCCTAGAGAACACAGTAAAACTGCCCCTTAGGGTTTCCTACAGTGTCACTGTGTGGTAGGAACAGCACTGGACTGCTAACCGCAAGGTCAGTGATTCAAACCCACCAGCCGCTCCTTGGACCCCATACAGGGTCGCGATGAGTTGGAACCGACTTGATGCCACTTACCAACAGCAACAATCTTTACAGAAGCCGACTGTCCCCTTTTTCTCCCCTGAAACAGCTAACAGATTCCAATTCTCATCTTTCAATGATCAGCCCAGCACTTAACCACTGCGCCACCCAGATTTCTTACCTGACCCAGAGTGGATACTCAGTAAACAGGAGCTTCATGAGCTTCCAATCTTCATTGGCATCACATCTGGTTACCTTCCCAAGCTCAGCCTCAGGGCACCTTTTGCTGTGATGTTGTTGTACATCAGTGGGCCAATCCACAGCCAAGGAAGCCTGTCTGGACTGCTCAGGTCTGTGGGTCCCGTGTTCCCCCCCACCCCCCCACCTCAGTTTTGCCACCTGCCTGGGTCTCTCTCTCCAATCATTGGGATAATGTGCACTGAGAATCTACTACATGCTGGGCCCACTCCACACAGAGTTTATTCATATTGGTGGTGGTGGTGGCGGTGTGCCGTGGAGTGGGTTCCTACTCATAGCAACCCTGTACAGGATTTCTGAGGCTACAAATCTTTTTTGTTGCTGTTGTTAAGTGCTGTCGAGTCGGTCCCGACCCATAGCGACCCTGTACAGGGTTTCTGAGACTATAAATCTTTACAGGAGCAGAAAGCTTTATCTTTCTCCCATGGAACAGCTGGTAGTTTCACACTGTTGATCTTGAGGTTAGCAGCCCAAACCGTAACCATGACGCTACCACAGCTCCTTTTATTCATATTAGAACATTAAAATCTTCACCTCAACATTTCTAGATGAGAAAACTGAGGCTTGTAGGGGATGGGGCTTTTACTTATCCAAGGTGACATTCCACTGCTGGACATGGTAAACCCAAAATTCATTCCACACCGCCTCCCAACACTGCCTTGGGGCAGGACTAGAGAGTTGTACTTCTGAACTCTACCACTGTGTCTGGGTCAGACCCAGGGATACAAGACATGCTGCGTAAATGTACATCAGTCCAAGCCTAGGTTGGGGCTTCCCGCCCCCAACCACACTGTCCCCTGGCTGGAAGGAAATAATGCTGAGGTCCTAGGGGATGGGAAAGACATAGGATGGAAGGGGCCTGAGTCTCCAGGTCACCGCAGGAAAGGTCACCTGCCAAACACTTAACGGCACTTTTAGAAACAAACTTACACTGTGTTAACCCCCTGAGATGTCAGCATTCCACTCTCACAAAAACTAGTGCTCCCTGAGGTAAGTATTGGCTAGCATTACTGTCCTCAGGGCTCTCATTAGCCTTAGTGGCTCTTCCCAGTTTCCACACAATAGGCCCTGAGGTACTGTTGGGTGAATAAATGCATCTTTTATACTCATTCTGGACTCCTGGTGTGGCACTGTGGGTGAATGCGCCAGACTGCAAAGGCATTTGGTCAGTGGTTCAAGCTCATCAGTTGCTCCTCGGAAACTCTATACAGGGTTGCTATGGGTCGGAACCGACTCGACGGCACTTAATAACAACATACTCATTCCCTTCCCACTCCCAGTTGGCCCTCTGTTGTTGTTGTTAAGTGCCCTGGAGTTGGTTCTGACCCATAGTGACCCTGATAGGGTTTCCGAGAAGCAGCTGGTGAGCTTGAACTGCCAATCTTTAGGCTCGTACTGATTTTGCCACCTCTAAACCTGCTGCCTGCCAGTGCTGGTCTCAGTAACTAGTCCCCAGAGCCTGTCAAACAATTTGTCCACGTTCACTCAGCCCAAAGAAGGAAAGCTGTAGCCAAGATGTAGGGGCACCAGGTTCCAAAGCCAAGCTGCCTCCTATCCCACACGTATATACATTAACAGCAATGGCTACCATTATGAAGCACCTACTGTGTAAGCCACCACCAACTCTTGCCTGGACTGCTGAGATGGCTCGTCATGGATCTCTTTGTATCTACCCCTCTTGTTCCCTGTTGGTCTATTTTCACACAGCAAAAACTATGCCCATAAATGTGGAAGTTGCACTGGTGAATGTTTTGGTTTATATATATTTTACTACAATTTTAAAACGTAAGAAAGAAATGATGTCCATCCTCTACTTAAACTCTCCACTGGCTCCTATCATGCCCAAAATAAGGTTGTCATGCCCACAACCTTCCTATCACTTTTTCAAACACACCAAGCTCCCATCTTAACTTACAGTCTCCTCAGCCTGGAATGCCATCACACCCTGCCTTCCTTTGCATGGATGACCCCTCTTGTTAACCAGATCTTCCATCATAAGTGTCACCTACTGAGATACTTCACAATCATTAGAAAAAAACACACAACAACTCTTGCTATCTGTTCATTTCAACTCAAAGTGGCTCGATACAACAGAGTAGAACTGCCCCATAGGGTTTCTGTAGCGCTGTGTACTAATGCGCTGGACTACATGAACTGCAAGGTCAGTGGTTCAAACTCACCAGCCACTTCTTGGAAACTTTATACAGGGTCACTATGAGTTGTAACCGACTCGATGACACTTAACAACAACAAATCTTTATGGAAGCAGACTGTTAATATCTTTCTCCTACAGTAACTAGTAGGTTTGAACAACTGACCTTTGGGTTCCTTATCTTGGGTATATATCCAAATATATATATACATGTATATATATACACACAAACACACATATATTTATATATATAACTATTTGCTATCAAGTTGATTCCAACTCCTGGGTTAATGCATTAGACTGCAGTCAGTTTGAACCGCAGTGTCGGAGGTTCAAGCTCAGCAGTTGCTCCTCAGAAACCCTATACAGGGTCACTATGGTTCAGAACTGACTCAATGGCACTTAACAAGAAAAACAATAACACCAGGGGCTGAGGGAAGGAGAGAAAGAGGAGTTTATTGGTTAAGAGGTTCCTTCTGTTTGCGGTGATGAAACATTTTTGGAAATAGACAGGGTGACGTCTGTACAACACAGTGAACTAGATACTTAAAATAAGACACCTTCTGAGAAAGCTAACTAACCTGACCTTCCTAGCTGTACCCTGTCACTGTTTTCTCCATATGGATGTCTGTCTGTCTCCTTCAAGGGCCCAGATCATGCCAGCCTTTTTCACTGCTGTCTCCACAGTGTCTAAGGCCTAAAGTTCCCTAAACAGTTGTTACATGAATGGATGAACGAATACTAAGAGACATGTAATAATGGGGGAAACTAAGGGACGCGGATGAAAACAGTTTCCCTTTGGCTGTGACTGGAATCGAATTGGGTGCATTTTGACCATGGATTATTGATGTTACCCAGAGATGGGCATTGCTGGAAGACATAAGTGAGCACATATCCAGCATTTGTCAGATTCCTGGAGTTCAAGGTAAAATCAGGGAGTGTACTGTACCAGCTGCTCCAGCACTGGAAGTATGTCTAGCCTCAAAGTGCTGACTCCCTTACCCAAGACAAGAGAGAGCGAATGGGAAGAGAGGAGTTAAGGATACAGTATCCTGGGGTAAGAGCTCTGGTTTCTGCGTGGATAGGAAACTCCTAAAATGCAGGGGAAGGGGGGGGAGGGGGGGTCAGGTTCCTGAGCTCTTTCCAGAACCCTACCTGGCTGAGGGTGAAAGCCTGCCACAGGATTTATTTTTTAAGCACCTGCTGGGAGCTCAGCTAAGGAAACAGGAAAGCTGGGAGGTAAACAGGCAGGATCCCTCCCCTCAATGTCCCAGCCGCAAAGACTAATCACTAATCGGTTGAGGAAAACTGATCACCAAAGGTGCCGACATCTGCCCCAGTCTAGTCCCCGTATTAGGTGGGGGATAAAGGGGGGGGGGGAGAGTAACAGAACAGGAATGGGATGGAGCTTGTTTAAAATGTGGCCCTCAGGCCCCATTTTGAAAACCCAAGGAGTGGAGAACTCCTGCTTGCTGTGCAATTTTCAACAACTCAACTAGCCACTCTTTTATTCATCGCTAGATAATCTGGACTCTCAGGGTTATAATGAATATGAAACAACGTCCTACACGAGGAGGGCGCACTGAAGCCCCAGCCTGAGTTGCCAGGGAACCGCCAGAGCGGAGGGGTCTGTGGGCGGCTCCAGGCCTCTGCTCCCGAGAAGGATCCCGCTTCCCTTGGCTGCTGCAGCCCGCAAAGAGCGGGGCAGGATT